AGGGATCCCAGGGTAGTATTCGGTAGCCCTCGTCTACATAAAAGCAGCTGTGCGACCAACTTCAGCCTGTTTTTCAGTCATGCTAGCACGGAAAAGCTTAATTAACTTGCCCACCAGAGCGAAGAACAGATAATTCTCATTTCGCAATTTCAGTTCAATTGGGTACGCGTCGGGAATCTGAATTTATTAATAACAAAAACTACTATCAGCCGCACAAAAATCTTCTTTGCAGTTTGAATACGTTCTAGATCTGTGCTGCGGCCGCCCAAGTGCAATTACCAGGCCAGAGAGGTCTCCTACCTTCTATCTGTAACCCTGCCGGGCCCGCGACAGCGAACCTCCCCTGCCCTTAATCAACCCGGTTCCGAAGGACCACAGAGCCAAGCTATAGTAATACGGTGAGCAGACCACATAGCAAGCGAGGTGTTCAAGACATACCAGAGCAAGCCGTGCATCCGTACTTCGCTGCCACTCGACTTGATCGTCAAACGCCTTTTTCAACTTCTCCATCCCATTTCGTAAATCCTCGTGTTTTGAGTTCAACAGTGCTTGCTGTTCCTCGAGATCCTGCAGAAATTTAGAGTGCTTCTTGATATAGTCAGCTTGTGAACGCTTGAGGTCTGACACTTCCTTCTTTATCTTGCGTTCCCAACTCGTATTGAGATCAGTCGTGAGAGAGGCCATCTTCTCTTTCCAACTTGTATCGAGAGCTGACATCTTGGGTTCCCAATTCGTATTGAGATCAGCCGTGAGATCAGCCGTATTTTCTTTCATCTCGCGTTCCCAGCCCGTATTTAGATCGGCCATGAGAGAGGCCGTATTTTCTTTCATCTTGCGTTCCCAACTCGTATTGAGAGCAGACATCTTCCTGTCCCAGCTCGCCTCGAGCTCCATTCGCATCGTCTTCATCATTTCATGCCAGTTGTCACGTTCAGTATCTCTTTGCTTACCTATCTCCTCCACCAGGACTCTCGTATTTGCTACTCTTCCCTTCGCGTTCTTTGCCTGGACATTTGCAAACCGTGC